GCAGTGACGGCGAGCTCTCTGCGGGGGGGGGGGGAGGTGCTTCTAGTGAGAACGTGTGTACTCCGGGGAGCTGCAGGTCCTGTCACGTGGTTCTTGACCCAGGGCAGAGAAAGTAAAGATGGAGGATGTTTCCAGTGAAAATTAAATCTTTTCATTAGCCACATTATGAGGTTCCAATGATGGTCATTTGATCAGTCTGGCAGGAAGGCATCTAAAAATCATAATGATATAAGATATGTGTATCTACTACAGCAATAAAACCTTTTTAAAGACACATTATTGCACCTGGAGGTATTGACTAATGCTAACGTGAAGTTGTTGAGGTTGTTAGCAAGACATTTATGAAAATGCTTCATTTCATCTTAAATGTGTTCACTTAAACTTTGAGGCCTCCTTTGAAAATATATATACTATTTTTGTTCATGTTTTATAGTATACATGATTTATTGGCAGAGAACAGATATAATTTACAAATATACATGTAGTGGGAATACATTGCGAAGCTTTGTAATGAATGGGTGTATGATCAAAAAAATTTGGAGCATAAATGCTTTTCCAATAATTTAAAGATACGAGATTTACATTGTTTTGTTGTTTTACTGTTTTAAGTATACAATTTAAATGTCTTACACATTATTTTGTTATAATGCCCTGATATTAAATAATGTTTTCCAGTTGAAATGAAAAGAAATGAAATACAATGGAATTAATCAAATTATAGAATCATTCATTGTCAGTGAAGAAAATGTTGAAGCCCAAATCTTTGGAATAGAATAATAGTAATAATAATAATAATAATAATAATATTCCACTCATTTGTGGGGAAGCTGGGCCTAAATCCAAGAGAGATAGGAGTTATAAAATATTCTTTAAGAAGTGTTCCTTTAGCAATTTTGAGTACAGATAAGAAGAAACCAAGTTAATTGTGTTTTAGCAAATCTTTTAAGTGCCTTCATTTAACAGATAGCTGAGACTTATTTATCATTACTCTGTCCATTGTTGAATTAAAATTAATACCAAAGTGGTGCTTGAGAATGGTCTTTTTCCATCTTACATTTAAATAGGTTAGACTTTTGCTTTGTTTATACCATTAATTTGTTTTCACACAGCCTGCAAAGGTAACCATCAACTCAGAATTAATTAGTGGAATCAAAATTAATGAGGTTTTACTGTACTGGGCCATTTCCACTGCAGCACGATCTAGACTAGTGTTTTCTCGAAAGAAGAAAAATTAGATTTATTTTAATCCATATTTAAAAAGCAAAGAACCATCTTTTCTTGTGAGTTAAGTACCTCTAATAACTATGCTTTCTTGGGCTTAGTAATATTGATTTATTTTTTTGTTTTCGGTTTTGATTATTTTGGCTATTTCCAGACTGTTGCTTATTACAGTGAAGCCAGAGTTAACTCTTCAGATGCCTATTTTCCTTTACAGGGGCAATATATCATGTTTATTTTGGATCGTTTTTTTTTTGTGGGTAGATTGTGTCATTTGCCAATTTTCATCATGATTGCACTGTATAAAAGAAGAACAGGACTTTTCTTTAAAACATATTTATGTAAATATATGCATTACAGAGAATCCATCATGTGCAAACAAAAAGCTAGAATTTTTGGAATTGTAGTTCTTTTTTTCCTTTCAGAAAATTACATCTACTTATTAAAGCAGATCATATGATACTATTTAATATTTGATGTGTATGTCCTTTATTTTTACTAATAAGAGTGATAACGTAAAGCTTTTAAATCTTTTTATGAGGATGGATTGTGTTTTCTTGAATTTTTAAAATTGTCCACCTGCACCTACATGGGGAGGGAATGAGTTTTGACAGCGAACTTACAGGATTTGATGCAGAAGGTCAGGCTTCTCATAAGAATGGGGAAGCCTTACTTGTTTGTTTAATGTCTGCAGTTGTAAACTACAGTGAGAGATATTTGTCAGTTTTCTGTGATCTCAGATGTTGCAACCTACCAGTAGGTAATAATTTGAGGAACACTGAACACAGTAAAGAATGTTGGTAAAAATTCACTTAAAAAAAAAACAACAATGGAGAAACAAACTTCACCCTGACTCCTGCCCCATTTTCTCTACTCTTTAAAAAGGAAAGACGAGAGTATGTGAACGTTAATGAAATGACAGTGGGCTTGGGGCCAGCAGGGAGGCTAGTTTAGGAGTATGGCTTTGACTAAGAATTAGCTCATTGTAAAGAGATTTTTGAGAATTTGAGTCTAAGTAGCAGAGCAAACACTAGTGATGGGTGCTGTGCATGCTGGGGCAGATCAGTGTTTGACTGACGAGATCAGTGTGTGAACAGGTAGAAAAGTAATGCTGTTTAGGAATTATTCTCTTTAATTTTTTATTTTACAATTTCAGTCGACATATAGTATTATATTGGTTTCTGGGCACAATACAGTGATTAGAGATTTTGGATAACTTATGTAGTGATCGGTCTGGTAAGTTTAGAACCCAGGACTATTGGAAATATTCTTTTAGTTTATCACACACAAAGAAAAAGGTCGCTGTTAGATTTCTGTTTCCTCTGATGAAAGAAATACATTAAATGACCACTTTTTGGCAGATTAGTGTTGCAAAATTGGAAATAGCAGTTAACCATTAATGTAGCATATCATTCCTTTTCGTAAGTTGAATGATGCATATATTTGATAAATACAAAGTCAGCACTAATGGTAATCTATAGAAATGCAAAGCATCCATTGTATTATCTTGGGTTAGCAATGCATGTCTGGTGAAACTCCCAAATGTTTTATGTAGTGTGAGATAACCAAAAATAAAGGCATATATTACTATGGTATATATTTCACCCTTTTTTTACTGTAACATTGTCTATATTTAAATGAATTTGTTGTAGTTTGTCACTTCATTTTGATTTATTGCTTAGTTATAAAGCTAATTTTTGTGTGCCATAAGTCACCTACCCTCCCATTCCTTAATATATCCTTTTAAAGAAAGAAATCATGTTGTGTGTCTTAATTGAATGCTTATTGGGAAACATGAACTTAGTAAGCTTAACAAATGATTGTTTAAGAAAGGTCTAGATGATGCTTTAATAAAGGTTTATAATATGATCTTTCTGAACTTAATTTTAACTCTTAACATTAGTAAATACTTGCTATGTTTATTATAGCATTTAAAACATTCATAAACCAAAAAGTACAAAAAAGCAAACACAAAAAAAAACTAAATCACCTAAATTTAAGAAAAAAGTTAATAGGTAAACCTTAATATCTTTGTTTTATTAATGGTTTGTTTCATTCAAAAATTGATTTTAGGTTGTTTAAAAAAAGAAACATTATTCAGTAGGATTAAAAATAAAGCTAACCATGGTGGGAAAAAAATGAGAGGAGAAAGGAGATGAGGCCACGGAGACTTCACTTACAGAAATGTATGTCCAAGATCTTGAGCCGTTACGGATAGAAAAGTGAGACCTGAGTTTCTTAGTAGCCAAGACATAAAAGGAACTAGTTATAGTAGTTTTCCCAAAAGTGTGTTCTTCAAAAACTAGGTCTTGCCCTGGCCAGCGTGGCTCAGTTGGTTCGGCGTCATCCTGCAAACCGAAAGGTCGCTGGTTCAATCCCTGGTCAGGGCACATGCCTGGGTTGTGGCTTGCCCCCAGCTGAGGCGTGTACAACAGGCAACTGATCGATGTTTCTCTCTCACATCAGTGTTTCTCTCTTTCTCTCTTCCTCCTTTCCCCTCTCTCTGGAATCAATAAAAAAAATAAAAAAAAAGAAAACTTAGCTCTTGTAAGATTACCATAGTCACATAAACTCGGGGACGAGTGATAGCGTGTCCTTCTTACACCGATAATTAGATGCACATCCACGTGTTAAAGGCTCTTGGAAGTTCTGTGGATAAAAACAATGGTAACTTGTGTTTCCCATTGTATATTTGGCCACCTCCTCCCTTTAAAAGAAAAATCTGCTGTCCGTCAGCATTTCTCACTCAGTGAGATACACCAGTCAGGGAGCTAATCTTTAGCTGTTCTGCTTAAGGCAGAACACCCAGCAGGGCGAGGTTTGAGAGGCTTCCCCTTTGGGTGCCGTAGAAGAGGTGGTGTATGTGTAGAGCAGTGGCCCTCTTCCTCAGTAAGTAGCCACAATGTATACAATTACGAGTTTTAAGGCAACTGTTTCCATATGGTTTCACCTTTGCATGAACTGAAAGCATAGTCTCATAAGTCACTAAAAAGTTAAGTTTTAAATTGCTTATCAATTGTCTCAAAAAGCGAAAGGCTTTAATTTTTAATTTTCCAGGTCATGGGTTGTGTCTTCTGTTGCTAGTGGAAAATCTTTACCATCTTTGTTCCATTATTCATCTTTCATCTTGTTCCAGAAAGGAATTGAAGGGCCCAAACTAGAGAGGAGCAGAAAAGACACAGCAGAATATTCTAATTGGCCACTGCGTGTGGGGGTTGGTGGTGCGCCTGCTGACATTATAGACAGAAGCTGTGAAGCACATCTCCTGATAATGCAGAATGTCTGTGCTGCTTCAGAAATGGTCGTGGCAGAGGGACCGTGGGGTATTGTTTTTGAGCACAGGAGCAGGGAAGGGCCTGGGTCTAAATGACAGTCACAAACAGAAGCGCCAGGGAAAGCGGTCCCAGCAGCTAACAAAGGCAGGTTCATACTGTGGAAAGAGAACACATAATAACAGATCAATTTTTTCCCCAGCTCTGCCTGCTCATATATAGCAATCATTTTAGTAAGGTCATCTTCACACTTAACAGCAGATTTTCCAAGGCATCTTTCCCACCCTTAATCTAGGATTAATTTAGCATTCTTTTTTGGGGCTATGATGATCAAACTGGGTGTTTTATGTATAATATGAAGGAACATATTTTCAGCACAAGCACATATCGTGGTCGGTTTTCAGGAGCAGTGAAGATTGTGTCCTTCATGTTGGCTTCAGTCGTGGAGGATAGGATCCCTTTTGTTCTGAGTGGAACCTAAATATAATTAAGGCTTATTCTTCGTTTCAGGCGAGAGTGCAGCACTGCGTCTGCTCGGTAGCCAGTGACCACTCAGTAGGACTCCTGAGCTTGCGAGAGAAAAAGTGCATTATGCTGGCATCCCGCCATCTCTTCCCCATTCAAGTGATCAAGTGGAGGCCCTCGGACGACTACCTGGTAGTGGGCTGTGCCGACGGCTCCGTGTACGTCTGGCAGATGGATACTGGTAAGAACGATGGCTGAGAGAGAGACCCGGGCATTGCACGTGTGCATTCGAGTTCCCAGAAATTAAAAACCTTTAATATGAGGGGGGAAAGCCCCGAAATATCACAAGATCGCTACTTTTTACTTGATCGCTGCTTTTTCTAAGTTCTGTGCCACGCTAAATGCTGGGGCTTGGCCGGTCTTCAGAGGGGTGTAATGGAAGACAATGTACACGTTAGGACAGACGTACAGATAGTAGACCAAAAAAAAAATCAGTGATTCCGTATAATTCATGAGGCAAGATGTGAGCAGGATAAAGAAACCAGTTTTGTCTCAGATTTAGAAGCAGTGGAAAAAAGAGAGCCCTCTTTTATTTGAATAGCAGAAAATCAATACTGGGCAGTTAATAGCAGGAGGTGATTGAAGTGAAAGTTTTAATTTCTAGAGAGAACCTTTAAAATTTCAGTTTCAAAGATTTTATGTATAGGGCATAACATAGAACAAATAATGCTTAGCTTAAAAGTATAGGCAGCGATATATCACGTTGAACATAGTATCTCCTTGTCCCTGGGAAGTCTTTAAGTATGGACCTAAATGTGTTTATTAGTTTAAGCTTTTAGAAACACATTTTAGTCTACTTACGTGATCACGAGCCAGTGGACTGAAACCTGTTTGGAGCAGTTCTTGTTGAAATCGCAGCATGTACACATTTGTGCCTGCACTGTGGTGTGGTCGGAGTTCTCTTAACCTCCGTCGGATCAGAGCCGAGCGCTCGGCAGCCTTTCTTTCTGAGTTCTCGCTGTAACTGCCAAAGCGAAGGCAGCCTTGACAAGACGGAGCCTTCCTGGGGCGGGGGTGGGGGGGTGTCAAACGGTTTTTGCATTTATCTTTTCTTTTTGTCTGATCATGTAGGAGATGCATATACCTTTTGTCAAATTTTAGAGACAAATAGAAAAGATGAACCCAGATTGCACTGCTGAGTGGCGAACGTTAACATTTTGGCACATTTCTTCCTTGTCTTATTTCCGTGCATTTTTAAAGCCAGGATTGCTGTCGTACGACACATGCAAATCTGTACGCACGAAAGGCGTGCTTTGGTGTCCTCTGGCTGCACCCCGTGTGCCTCGCAGCACAGGCGTGGGTTTGCTGACGTGGTCCGCCCCACTGACCGGCTGCACCGAGTTCGCCTTTGGTTCTGGAGTTAGGCCACTTGTTGTGAGTTTAGAACTGACCACTCGCTGGCACTGTGACCTGCAAGTCCTTAGACTTTTGTCCCTCAACTTTATCTGCAAAAGGAAGACAAGAATAGTTCCTGTTTTCTAATGTTGCTGGGAGAATAAAATGTCACAGTGTCCACCTGTGGTGCATGCAGTACATGTAACGTGTGTGTGTGTGCTTGTGTACATGCAAGTTTCTCTGTGTGTACGTGTGTGTTATTAAATACGCTACTTGTTACTTTGTTGAACTTGGGAATATACGACCTTTAGAAATATATTCTTTGGAAATTAATATTAAATAAAGTTCTTATAGCAGTAATGACATGCATAAAATGCTCTTTTGAAATAGTCAAAATTTTAATTAACTGTTGTTATATCTTAAATAAAAAAGTATGGTGAACTTGTCTAGGACTTTTTTTTTTAAGATTTATTTATTTTTAGAGAGGGAATGGAGGGAGAGAGAGAGAGAAACATCAATGTGCGGTTGCTGGGGGCCATGGCCTGCAACCCAGGCATGTGCCCTGGCTGGGAATCGAACCTGCGATGCTTTGGTTCGCAGCCCATGCTCAATCCACTGAGCTACGCCAGCCAAGGCTTTTGTCTAGGACTTTTAAAAGTGAAATAAATATAATAAAGGAAGGTGGTATTTATAATTTTCCTGAATTTTTCAGACATATGCTTAAGTAATGACACTTGAAAATTTCAGATACTTTAAATTTTATATTCCTTACTAAAGACAAAGTTACTTTTCCAGGAATCTCCCTAGAAGGAAATGACAAATGGCCCCTGTAGGCATGGCTGGAGGATGTTATTCCCATAATTAGCTTAGTGTAATTAAGCCCATTTTAGATTACACAACATATAATATTGAGAACTCAGAATTCTGACCTTCAGGAGGATTTTTGGTAAACTGTTAGTCAATAGGACTGCTAAATTGAGATAATAGTTGAGAAGCAGAATTTATTTTGGGTATCAACCACAATAGGGAGTGTATACACTCTTTTTTCCTCCTTGCGGCTCAGGCTTCAACTAGTGATATGGGAGTCTCCAGGGAGTCAGTCAGGCACATCCGGGAGGTATTGCCATTATTTATTTATTAAATTTATGGATTTATTAAATAAATAAAAGATGAGGCTAAGTAAATCAGTCCCAGCCAAAGTTTGATGTATGAAATGTATTAAAACTCCGAGGAGGCACTTTATTCCTCTTCTCAGTGTTCTGGGAGGGCATTTTTACGAGGAAGCCGCCGTCCGCTGACACTGCTCATGCGCAGAGCGCAACTTTCTGTTTGGTCTTGAATCGAACCGATGTCTCTGCCTTGTGCAGACTTAGAAATGTGTTTCCTGCCCTGGCTGGTGTGGCTTAGTGGATTGAGCGTCAGACTGCAAACCGAAGGGTTGGTGGTTTGATTCCCAGTCAGGGCACATGCCTGGGTTGTGAGCCAGGTCCCCAGTAGGGGGTGCACAGCAGGGAACCCACACATTGATGTTTCTCTCCCTCTTTTTCTCCCTCCCTTCCTTCTCTCTAAAAATAAATAAATAAAATCTTCAAAAGATGTATTTTCTTTATACTTCTATGTAGCACTTTCTTTTCATTGTTTTCCCCTTGAGATGGGTAGTTTTATCTCCAGTGATGACTTCCTAATGAAATGAGTTTGGAGCTAGTCATAGAAAACTTAAGTAGAGAGATAGAAGTTCAGAATCTTTTGTTCTTTTATTGCGTCCTCTTTATTAAATGCCAGAGTGATGTGGGTGCCATGGCAATTGGTCTTCTGTCACGTGTCAGGGTAGTCAGAAGGCGAGTCAGACAGCAAGCCGCAGGGGTGGCCAGAGGAAACCCCACTCCCACCTAGGGACTCACTGAAGGCGGGCCACTGGCCCAGGCGGTGTCTGCCCCCACCTGGAGCTGCTCTGTGCTTCAGCCCCATCCTCACCTGTCGTGTTCCCTGGCAGCACGCTTCGGCCCCCCCCCCCCCCACACACACACACAGGTCTTTGCCAGGGTCAGAATCCTATCTATTTGGGACACCGTGGCGTGCTTTAAGTAATGACTGATGTTACAAGATGTTCTTTTTATCTGATCAGTACGGAGCCTAAACAGCATTCTCCTCTGCCCATTTTGATCATCTTGACTGGGTAACGACAGGGGTTTTCAGATCATAAGCCTGTTTCTGTAAGGACAGTTATTAGGTGTTTCTGTACAAATGCAAACACCAAGAGTGCTTGCCAGATATCACTACAAGTTAGTGTGTGAAGTCTTGGCAGTTTACTTCGTTCTCTTATCACTTTTTAACATGTATGCTCTGTCCCTTCAGCTTTTGAAAATATTTATTTTTTTGTATTTATTTCATAAATGTATGTTTTTTCATCTTTTTAAACTTTATTATCTAATAACATGTAGCACAGAGTTATGAATTAATATATGTTTATGTCTGTTTAAAAGGGCATGTAAGGCATGGATAACAAAAAACTTAAAAAAAGATACTTTTTGAAAATCTTGGTAAAACCAAGTATAATCAGAGATATTTTCCCCTCTCTGGATGATTCACTCTGGAATTTTTAAGGAAGAAGTTGTTAGAGTAGAAATGCAACTGTCTCTACTACCTACACCCTCCCCTTAGGACCCTTTTGTGCAATTAATTGCTAAACCCTTCCCATTAGGTACCCTGCCCTCCCTCCTTTCTTTCCAGTGTATCGTTAACTTGGCACAGGTGTGGAAAAATAGAGCCCTGTTGTTATTGGTTTCTTTGTCGTCTTTCTCCTGTTCTTTTTTTAAAGAATATTTTCTTTTTAAAAAATCTATTTCTTTATTTTTGGAGAGGGAAAGGGAGAAAGAGGGGGAGAGAAACATCAATGTGTGGTTGCCTCTCACACGGCCCTTATTGGGGGCCTGGCCCGCAACCCAGACACATGCCCTGACTGGGAATCAAACCAGTGACCCTTTGCTTTGAAGTCTGATGCTCAGTCCACTGAGCCACGCCAGCCAGGGCTATTTTTTCTTCTAACCCATCCTTACACTGCTGGCAAATCTATTTTAGGAAGTAAAAAAACAACACTTGGTTTATATCACCGTCTTAATGGGTAAAAAAACCCCCACAATTTTAGGCCACATAGCCTTTAAGACAAGGTCCTCTACTATGTGGTAGCCTCGCACCTTTGTCTTTGTCTCCTGCTGTTCAAGTACACAGACCACGTGACTGTGCAAAGGATGATTCTAGCCCAGAATGACTGGGTCAGTCTCTTTCATATCATCTGTGTTTGTTGCTCATGGGTTTTACTCATTTGGAACATTGTTCATTCTATTTGCATGTTTCTTTAATTTGTTATATTTTAAGGAAATTTGAATAATAAAAACAAAATGTCACATATTTACCCATGTAGTTTTCATTCCTGTTGCCTAATATTAAATATTTCTTGTAATGTAGGTCTATGAGTGATGAATTCTTTCAGCTTCTGGATGTTTGAAAAACTATTTCACCTTAATTTTTAAGATTTTTTTTTCTGGGTGTAGAATTCTAGGTTGATTTTTTTTTCCTTTTATACTCTTTCTTCTTGTATTATCTCCAATGAGAAATCTCCCTTATTTTCCCCCCTTTGTATATATTGTGTCTGCTTTTTTTTCTAGTTGCTTTAAAATTTTTCTCCTTATTTAGGTTTTGAGCATTTTGATTGTAGTTTTATTTGTATTTCTTGTGTGTAGGGTCATTGAACTTGCATACTAATGATAGATATTTACTTTTTAAAATTTTTAACATTTACAAATAAGGCAATCAGTAAATATGTCTGGGAATATATATGTATACATAATAGGTGTATGTATATAAAACACACATACATATGAATATATGTGTAGTTACTGGTATACACTTACTGATAGCATATATGTAAATTTGTATTATTATATGGTATGTTTATTTAGTATAAATCTTAGAATGAGACTTTCTGTGTTAAAGGAAATGTCAATTTTAAATTTGATAGAATTTGTTAAGAAAGAGTCACTAATTTTCAGTTACAATAAAAGTATTTTACTAGTTTCCTCATACCCTTAAGGATGCTGAATGTCTATCGCGGTAAGACATAAGTGATATTCCATTATTGCTTCAATTTGGATTTCTGTATTAGTGAGGATGATGTCTTTTCGTATGACTACTACCCATTTCTATTCTTCATTGTTCATAGCCTTCGAACATTATTGAAATCCCATTAGTGAATACATACTCTCCTTTTCACACGTACCCAAAAAGTTTCAGGTAACAATTTCTTCTTTTGCTTTGCCTTCCAAAATATATTGGTCAGCACTCAATACGCTGATTTATGTTCACACTGAGACCACCAGGAACTGTTCTGGGAGTCCTGCTCACACTGAGACCACCAGGAACTGTTCTGGGAGTCCTGCTCACACTGAGACCACCAGGAACTGTTCTGGGAGTCCTGTGGAGAGAGGACAGCGAGTCAGGATTCAGCGTCCTTAAGGCGTGGGGGCAGACCCGACTGGCGTGTATGTAACCGCTCAACACTGGGAAGACTCCATGTGTTTGGGTGTTCGGGCACCAGCTCAGAAACACAGTCAAGTGTTTGTGTTTTGGTGATAATTCAAGTTCCTGCTGTTCTCCATGGTTATTTTTCAAAACTGATGGGTCTTCTTTTAGAACGACTCTGGAGGAATGCCCAGTGAAACAAAATAAACTCCATTATCATTTTATTGTCATTATTATAATCTTCAAAAAAATACATGCAGGGCCCTGGCTGTTGTAGCTCAGTGGATTGAGTGCGGGCTGCAAACCAAAGCATTGCAGGTTCGATTCCCAGTCGGTGCACATGCCTGGGTTGCAGGCCACAGCCCCTGGCAACTGCACATTGATGTTTCTCTCTCTCTTTCTCCCTCCCTTCCCTGTCTAAAAATAAATAAATAAAATCTTTAAAAAAAAAAGAACTCGGGACCTTTCTTCAGTTTAAAAAAATAAATACACGCAGATCCTCAGCAGGAGAACCCCCTCTGCCCAGTGCGACGCTGCGCGCCGTGTGTGACTGGGTGCGCACACAGGCTGCCTGCTCCAGAGGACGGTCCCGCGCCCTCCCTCACGCACGAAATGCAGAGGTGGGGATGAACGGAAAGTGTCGCCAAATACAGCAGCTGTGACGAGGCTGCAAGCTGACGTAGCAGTTACTTTCACAAACACACCAAAGAACATGTGATTGGGTGTGAAGAATAACCGTCAGGAAGTTTTCAGCTAGAATGAGGAGCTATATATTTTTTCCAGTCGTGTGGAGAGATGCTGGAGAAAGAAAAGCTTCAGGAATTGTAGCCAGACTTACTCTTTTTTTGTTTAAGATTGATATACAGCTTAGAAGAAGGTGAAGTCATAGAACTTCATGTTTGTAGTAAAAGTAATGGTGTGGGTTGACCAAGGAGGCCATGTTGGAAGTAGAAAAGCCTGGGGGAGGTCGTTACAATCTTGACTCTGAACTTGACTTTGTTGGGAAGTTGTGGGAGGGGCCTTTCGTGGGAGGAAATGACACAGGTAACGCTACCTGGGAGATTGTTAGAGGAAGGATGTGCAAGAAAATGTTTCTGGGAGGCACCGTTAAAACATATTCCCACATAAAGAATGTCCTTGCATTTATCGTCTTAAGCCATTTAGCATTTTACGGTGTGTGTAACACTTGCGAACACACCTACGTCTTGCAGGCGCCTTGGATCGCTGCGTGATGGGCATCACAGCCGTCGAGATCCTGAATGCCTGTGACGAGGCCGTCCCCGCCGCGGTGGACTCGCTCAGCCACCCGGCCGTCAACCTCAAGCAGGCCATGACGCGGCGCAGTCTCGCCGCTCTGAAGAACATGGCCCACCATAAGCTGCAGACCCTGGCAACGAACCTCCTGGCTTCCGAGGCGTCCGACAAAGTGAGTTTTGTACGTGGGCTTGAGTGTGTATTCCTCTTTGAACGTCGTTTGGTGACATAGCCTTGCGGTTTCTTAGGGAATAATTTTGGCAGATGACACTGGTGGAAAGTCAGCTTCTCATTGTTATTTAGGTTTGGCCAATGTAAGTGTTATGAGCATTTTGAAAGAGGAAATTATATTCTTACCATTCAGCATCTTTTAACAGGATTGCTACTGAATTAAGTGACTTCAGTTCCTGAAGTGAGAGCAAATATTTTATACGTAATCTGTCTTTTGACTTTCTGACAGCTTTCCTTTTGAAAGATTGAGCACTGGCTAATGTCTCCAGGAGAAAACCATCATCATTTAGGTACACAATGAAGATGCCTGTAATTGTGGTCCATCCACTGATTTTAAAAGCAGGTTCTGATTTTAGTAAAATTGGGCCATTAAAGGGATTGAGTAACATGCCGGAGACTCGGTCCGGTGGAGCAAAGCCAGGCCGGCATCTGTACTGATAGCCCGGTCATATATGTTCCTTGCTGGCACTTAAAACCAGCGCATCTGTTTCTTTCTCTGTTGAAAGAGCACCAGCCTACTAAAAGAACCAGCCATCCCAATTCATTAATTGGTTACTCATCTTGAGTTTTGTAGGGGCTAGCCACTGTGTGGTTCGTGGGGTTGTGTTCTGTGGTATAATTAGAACTAGTTCTCTGGTGACGGATAAAAGAAACCTAGAGTCAACCCCAGTATTTCACAGCTCACTACCGAACACGGCTGTTTCCATCTCAGTGTTCATTAGAGTTACCAAAGGGTGATAAATACTTTTATTTTCATTCCCTCATATTCCTAATTCCTATTGTTTAATGAACAAATGGTGGAGAGGTTGAAATGCTCATCTGCAAGCTCGGGAATCTGTCGTGAATTAGTGAGTGCTGATGGCATCTGACACGCGGTAGGTAGCCCCGCTGCCCCCGCCCCCCAGCAGTTGGCAGTAATATTTGATCATTCCGCAGATGTGAATGTTTTATTGGCTTTGTTATATTGCGTGTCTCATAGATTGGAATGATGAGATTCTTCTGTGCTTTTCTTCGTGCCTTCAGTCCCATGCGCTAAAGTTTGAATAGAAATCCCAGCTTAAATTCTCCATGCCTGTAGTTTTTTTCAAGAGATCATGTAAACATCCCTAGGAATTCAGTGTTCATAGTTCATTTTATGTCTATATAAGTTTAATTTTGAGAAAATTTATGAAACAGTTTATTTAAGGTCAAGCATATATGATACGTAATATCCAGATATATCCTTTTTCTGGGTGGTGTCCCTTAGAGGTAGGCTGTTTGAAAAATAGCTATGTAACTGGGAAATTAAAGACAGGGAAGTGGAGCGGCAACATTTATGAATGACTTTTGTAAGTGGTCACGGTCCATTATGTGATTTTTACAATCTTGTTTGTCCCCGTTTTAATAGCGTATTTTATAGCGCAATTAGTGATAAAAGCACCAGATATCAGAGGCACTACACTTACGTATTGTAAAATATATTGCTTGCGAACCTCCTCAGCCTTGTAGCGGTAGTAATTGTTGCCTGGCCTACAAGGGAAACAATTATAGGAGGGGGGAAAGGCGTAGGAAGCTGAGGCTGCAGGAGGATAATCGCTTTATGAAAAATGTGTGTTGGCTGGACCATTGGGGATTTCTCTAACTATTTTCTCGTGTGGAATTTGAGGTTCCTTGGGAGGGGAATATTTAAAGAGCTGTCCTCTGGATGGTTTTCTAACCTCAGGAGAAATAAAACCCACCCAAAGCTGTAAACAAACAAACAAACAAACAAACAAAAACTAAGAGCTTCTCAGTGCAGGACTTACTCTAGGATACTGGAACTAATTTTTTCAGGGGTCTCTCAATGGAAAGTCAGATGTCTATAGGAAGACAATACAGAAGTATCCTGCTTTGTTCTTGTTAGGACATTGTTAGCAACTGGGCTGTTTAGAAGTAACATGTATTTTATATTGTGAGTTAGGTTTATTACAGTTTTGCAAACAGAAATAGAGAAATTACTATCCTATGACTTCTTTCTTTCACTAGGTGGCCCAGAAGATAGTAAGTAGAATTGTCCTTTCTCACTGCATTGAATCTTCACAAGATCTGTGTATTCGAACCCCTGTGTGTGTTTCTCTTAGAATGTGTATCTTATCTTCCCTTTTATTTTAATAACTGTGTCCTTACCTGACCCTCCCCACGGGAGCCCTGTGCTCTCGCAGGCAGGGGTTATGATTTATTCATCTCCGTGTTTTCCCCGTGACATCCAGCAGCAGGCGTGCGGGGAGCGCACATTAGGTCGGATGATGTGGAACGGGAAGTGTTGCTAGCCTCTGCCCGGCCTCTTTGCCCCTGTCTTCTCTGTTCCCTCAAAGTTGGTTGTCTTGCCTTGGCAATCCGATTTACCCTTTCATGAGCACGGGACCTGGAGCATTTGTTAATAACTTTGGCCCTCTGTTCAGTTTTGCCTTCTCCTCTTTGGCTTGTTGAGCAAGGGTGTGCGGGCACGACTCATTGTCCTCCTTGCCGTCGCTGTGTGGTCAGTGTTCCAACATACCCCGGAGTCACCGCAACTGCATCCTCTCCTTTGCTCCCGCTCCTTGCGGCTCTGGACCGGGGCTGCTCCGACTTAGGTCTGTGTTGGCATTGCGGACTGCATAGTTCTTCATTGTGGGGGCTGTCCTGTGTCATGTAGGATGTCCTCTACGCCCTTCACGCCAGTAGCATCTTTTCTCCCCAGTTGTGACAACCAAAAACATTTTCTTACCTTGCTGAGTGCCCCCTGAGGGGCAAAATTACCTGTGGCTTAAAACCACTGCTTTGGGGAATAAAGATTGAGAAGTGGTGGGAGCCTTTGTCTTGCTGCACCCTGTCTTTCCGTTCCCTCCCCACTCCCCCTTCTCGCTTTAATCCCTCTCCTCTCGGAGGATAGTGGAGCCGCTCTAGCTCCTCTCCCCTCTGTTCCCTGGGGCAGAACTCGCTCCTGCATTCTCTTCCTGCTCACACCTGCCTGTTCAGACCTTTCCTAAAACACCTCCCATTGTATGGGGTGTTTCTTGTTCTCTTTAGCTCCCCCTTCCCTGTTAGAGTCTGAGCTTCTTGAGGACAGGAGGTGAGTGTCTCATCGTTTTCTCGTCAGTGCTTAATGTAGGATGTGAGGCATAGTAAGTACCGACGAAAGTGAGTATGAAGTTAGCTTGGAGGTGTACATTGGAATCACGTGGTATGATCAGCTTGAATGCAAAGCTGAGGCCTTAACACAGTGGGTCGTGACACAATATTGAATAGTCTTTTTAAAAAAATTTCATCAAAGTTAAAAATTTTTAGTCATCAAAGACCTCATTAATAAAATGAAAGAGTGAGCCACAGACTGGTAAAGAAAATTAGCAACACATGCTTCTGATGATTTTGTATCATGAGTATGTAAAAAACTTCAATAAACCAATAATTAAAAGATGAACAACCCAATACTTCAAGTTTTCAAAGAGCATACATTTACATTTCAGAAGAGAGAATGTGCAAGTGGCCAGTAAGCACATGAGAACACATTCGATATCGTTAGACATCAGGAAAGGCACATTAAAACCACAATGAACTGTTATTTCCAATCCACTAAAATAACTGTTGTGTAATTTTTAAAGCATATTTTTGTTAAAGAAACATGTTGCCGTTCTGACACTCGTGTGCGGGGCACAAAGAGTGGGGTCGGGACTGCGCCGGGTGCTACCGGGATGACGGAGTGCAGGGCGGTGGGGCTGGGCTGGGCTGGGATCCTCGGCGGGAGTGTGCAGCGAGGGCGGGGCAGCTGCCGTGTGGGCTGAATAAATAGCGCTTCACAAGTGAGCAAGACAAGCGTGGAGACGCACAGGATGGCTCCAGGGACCCCAGTCTGGGGGAAGGGAGGAGGGCGAGCTGTTAACAGAAACGACTGGCTCCTGGAACAGGCCATGAGGTCAGTGGGAACAGGGACCTTTGCCTCTTCTCTGGGGCGTGTGCAGGGGGAGCAAAAAACTCCGAGGACAAAGCGACATGATGGTGAGATAGAGAAGGGATGGGATTTTTTTCCCCCTAAATAAATGCTGGAATGCAGAACCTAAATTAGACTTTGGTGTATATTTTGAGGTGTCCGCTCTCATTAGATTATTCCAGATTTGACGTCTTCCTTAATTCTCACGGAAAGTACGTGAGCTAGTCACTGTTGTCCTCAAATTTGCAAATGATGAACCTGAAAGGCAGCTGGTGAGAATGAGGACGGGCAACCGTTTTTGGGAGAGGGCCGCGTGGTGCAAACTGGAGGCTCTGTCCACTGCATCGTCTGGGTCTCCGTGGTTCATCTCGGCCCCGCAGTGCGAGAGCAGCCCTGCACCGCGTGTGAGTGCGTGCGTGTGACCGGCCTCCGGGAAAACTCGATTTGCAGAAATAGGTGACGGGCTGCATTCGGTTGCCAGGTCAAGGCTCGCTGACCCCTGCATCGGAAGGTGGCTTTATTAGTATGAAGGGTGTGGGCACAGTTCTCCCCCAGCATAGCCTTTGGTTTTGAAAAGCAGTTCAGAGGAGTGGTTAAGAGCCTGGGTGCTGGGGACGGGCATGTCTGCATGCACCTCTGTGACTTGCTGCCTGTGGGTGGGCTTGGGCAGGTGACCTCCAATGGCCTAGGTCACACATGTAATTGAAAATGAATCTTTGTACAGGAAACAAAAGTTGAGAGTTGAATGGAGAAATGAAGTAACAGTAAGACTTGGGGAAGAAAGAGAGTTTGGACTTAGTCATTTGGGAAGTCATTGGTGACGGCTAAGAGGGCCGCATCGGAAGCTGGGTCAGAGGTCAGGGTACCACGAGCCAGGAGTGAGTCAGGGGTGAGCTAGAGGTGGAGAGTGGAAGGAGTTTGCTTTGGGGGAAGAAACGGAGTCGGAGCTCCAGTGGCTGTAGGGTCAAGAGCAGCCTTTATACTCTGTTTAGGAGCTCATTGGTGTTTTTATTGGT